ATGATACAATTTAGCTCATGAACAAAAAAAAGAGGGAAGACCCTGAGAGGTTGGCAGCGTTACATCAGAGTTTGTACGCAACATATGCAGCAAGGAGAAACTGTAATCCTGTGTAATACAGTGAAAAGCTCTTTTAGCATAGCTGATACAGAATCTTTACAAGCCACTTATAATGAGCAACAGAGAAATGGATTAGGGGTGGCGAGGCTGGATGGGAGCCACAGCAAGCAAAACAAACACGGTTTGTGAGTTCACTGCATGCTGGCACGTTGCTCGATGTAATGTAAGAGTATGAGTTAGWGCAGCATAAAAGTGACGTTTTCAACTAATAGGAATTACATCATTCAGCTCTTCAAAAATAAATGTGTGTGTTTCAATGTGTGAATATAAAACCTTCTCAGACCAAGGCTGCAGTTTTGCTTTTCATTGTGGGAGTTTCTCAAAAAAATGTGTAGTACTGGGCAGTCCAGTCACAATCAGCATGTTTTTATCCAAACTGAGATTATTTAAAGAGCTATTCAGCAAGCAAAGGTGTARAGTGACAAAGTACACTCAAAAAAAACAGATGTATTGGATTTACAGTACTTAAATAAACTGTGGGAACAGCTGACATAATTTCTTTTAGTAAATCCATCTGTTTGTTGGCTGTACATTTAGGGTGTATTCACACCAGCCCTGTTTAGTCCGCTTTAATTGAACGCTAGTTCGTTTTGCCTAGAAAGTCTGCTTCGTTTGCGGAGCTGTACATGTGTAATCGAATCCAGACCAAAAAACAAACTCTGGTTCATCTGAAAACCTAGGTTTCAGTTCGGTTCAAGTGTACTCTCTGGTGCAGTTTTGCACATGTGAACGCCAAGCGGACTGGGGACCGCTCCGAAAGCAGGAAGCAGACTATGGCTGTGTCCAAAACGACAGGTCGGGTCCTCCGGAGGACCCAGACTACCCAGTCGAGGTGGGCCGGGTCCTTGGTAGACCGGGAAGACCGGAAAAAAAGAGGCTGTGAATTTGGACGGTCTAGTCTCCCCTCCACCCTGGCGTACGTCATGTCCCCTAGCAACCATGATAACGCTAAACAGAAGCAAAAATAGATCAAAATTAGAAATATATCAATATATTAGCATTATTAACATCAAAAATCAATAAAATTTAATTAAAGGTAACATTTGAAGAACTAATTGACCCACTGTAGGTGCATGTTTATTACACGTTTTTTATGACAAAAATAATATTTAAAAACATGTCCATACAAATGATAAAAGTATTAGAATTACAACCGCTAAAAAGTTTTAATTTTTATATCGCCGTCTTTTTATTTAAAACGTATTCTTTTCTCTCACTTGGTCCGCCATTACTAGCTTAAAAAAATCTCCGGTTGGGCCGCAATGCATTATGGGATATGCCGGGCCGGGAAGGACCCATCAGACCTGTCCTTCGATTCGGGCCAAAGGAAGGACGCATTTGTCGGCCGCATCGGAGGAGTCTTCGGTTTGGGACGGCCTCCGTCGCGGCGATATGACGTATGTGGCCGACGAATTCGGCCTTCGGAGGACCCGGCCTGCCGTTTTGGACACAGCRTATAACACGGGGCATTCTAAATAATAACAGTAATAAAGTTACTCATGTCTTGTAAATACCTTGCTTGACGTCTGTATAAGATCAACATCACTGCTCAGTGAACACAGCCTCATACGGAGCCGTCTCAGTTCAATTGAGTGAAAAACATTTTGTGAAGAAAGAAGTCTGTCTTCCTCTGACATCTTTATGGTTTCCTTCAGTGGGTCTTGGTGCAGCGCTACCACAGGCGAGGGAGGGAACAGGTTGTTCGCAGGGTTTAGTTCGGCTGACAAAAGGCAGTGTGAATGCAAACCGCACCAACTGAAAATGTAAACAAACCTTGTAATTTTGGTCCTCAGTCAAACCGAGTCTACCGGACTATCAGGTGTGAATTTGACCACTTTGTTACAGAATCTAAGTAAGGTTTTTTTTTGAGGATCTGTAATTTTACCAGATATTTTTAATCATTTCTTTTACTTTTATTTTGTTACATTCAAAACATAAAAATGATGATATTGATTATGATATTACTACTGTACTTAAAGTTAAATACCTTACCACACACTACAAATTTAAATATGACCGGAATTCATCAAGAAAGGAGTTGTTCATGTACTCTAAAAAATGAAGTTTTGAATCTTCTTCAGATAGTTCCACTAAACTGAGCTGAGTAAATTTATTTGCATTTACTTAGCTCAGTTTAGTGGAATCACTTGTAACTTATTAAAATWAATTCAACACTTCATTTATTAGATGGTGTGTATTGAGCAGTTTACTGATGTACTTTTTTGAAATGAATATTCATCAGTTATTTTCTGCTAAGGTATTTTGGCTTTTACTCAGTTTTTTTTATTAATGTACGTTATTTTCCTCTGCCAACAATGAGATATTTATTGTTAAAATCCTTTTCACAGAACCTCACTTCAAAAGTTCTGAACTGTCCCTTTAAAACGATCCGGCCATGAAAGCTCAGAGTGTAGGTGCCCTTTCTGCCTGTGTGATCTGTTTGTCCTCCTCTCTCCTCCCAGCATCTTGTTAAAACCCAGGACCTCACCTCAACCTTTCTGGTTCACACTCACAGACCATCCCCCAACACACCCACACACACACACACACACACACACACACACACACACACACCTCCTGCCACCCCACACCCCGTGCCCTCTGTGGACCTGCTTCTGGCTGCGCTCTGAACAGGA